TACGTCTTCGGAGCAAAATTTCTTAACATGTGTGCCAACGAACAACAGAAGGGTGGTTAGTAGAGAGTGCGTAAAAGTGGCAACGGTGTAAGGGACACGAAACTGCGGGGGTTGATCGAAGCCGTGCTACAGGACAGCTAGCTTTAAGATGGCGCCCGTATTTACGCTGGCTCTGCGGAGTGTAGACTTTGGGGACGGGCCGATGGAAATCGTCGACATCCAAGGACTGGAGGCGCAGCTGGAGCGCAAGGAAGCTGTCAAGGGTGAGGACGGCAAGACCACGCTCGTGCATCAGCACACGTTCACCGTTCACTCCTTGCGAAACGCGTTCGTCGTTCCAGTCAAGGACAAGTCGTTCTTCGAGATCACGCTCAGTTTCAAGTCTGGCAGCAAGCTGCAGACGCTAGTGGCTGCCAACACCTTGTTGCAAAAGTGCGAGGACAACAAACAGAACCATGCGCAAGTGGTGCTCAAGCTCAAGCCCTCCGGTAAGCTGAACCTCCGAGTGAAGCTGGCTGATGATGGCGAGAGCGACGAAACACCCGAAGGCATGGAGATTGAAACTCAGACAGCCACTCCCGCAAGGCGCGGGGCAGTCAAACACCTCAAGGTTCATGAGGTGCGCGGCCACAAATTCGTCGCCAAGTTCTTCCGCCAGTTCACCTTCTGTGCCTTTTGCCACAAGTTCATGTGGGGCTTCAAGAAGCAGGGCTACCAGTGCCAGCAGTGTCAGTGCTCAGTTCATCGCGACTGCCACGGCAAAATCCTGTCACGTTGTCCGGGCTCTGCCGCCGAGAGTGAGCAGAGCGTCATTCTGCGAGAACGCTTCAACATCAACATCCCGCACCGTATGAAGGTGCACAGTTACCGCACACCGACGTTCTGCGATCATTGCGGTACACTGCTGTACGGCCTGATCCGACAGGGTCTACAGTGCGAAGTGTGCGAACTCAATTGCCACAAGAAATGCGAAGCCATGCTGCCAAACCTCTGCGGCATCAACCAGGAGAAGTTGCAAGACATGCTCAAAATTGTCCGCGAAGAATCAACGCGCCCGAAGAAAGGAAGCACAGACAACCGACTGGAGCCAATCAAGGAGACTGACGGTCCGGTACAGATTAGTGACGAGGCGGTACAACTGCCTCCGCGTGAAGAGAAACCCGACAGAAAGGACTCCCTGGCGCTCATCGAGCCACCACCAGAGCCGAGCGTACCCAGCTTCACCGTCAACGACTTCAACATGCTGAAGGTTCTCGGCAAGGGCAGCTTCGGGAAGGTCATGCTCGCAGAGATGAAGATTGTGCCTAACCGATCATTCGCCATCAAGTGTCTCAAGAAAGATGTGGTCCTCGACGACGATGATGTTGACTGCACGCTGATCGAGCGAAATGTGCTGGCGATGGGCACGCAGCACCCATTCCTTTGCAGTCTCTTCTGTACGTTCCAGTCGCCGTCTCATCTCTTCTTCGTCATGGAGTTCCTCAATGGTGGAGACCTCATGTTCCACATCCAGCAAGCGGGACGCTTCGAGCAGGACCGCGCTCGCTTCTATGCCGCTGAAGTGCTCTGTGGTCTTCAGTTTCTCCATTCGCACAATATTGTCTACCGTGACATCAAGCTTGACAATATCGTGCTGGACTCGGATGGTCACGCGCGCATCGTGGACATGGGTCTATGTCGAATGAACGTGTCTGACCAGAACCGCTGCGCCACGTTCTGTGGCACACCCGACTACCTGGCGCCCGAGATCGTGAAGGGCAAGCGCTACGACCAGGCCGTCGACTGGTGGTCGTTCGGAATCCTCCTTTACGAGATGCTGATCGGACGGTCGCCGTTCTCGGGAACGGACGAGGACGAGCTGTTCTGGTCCATCTGCAACGAGGACGTCTACTATCCGCGCTACCTCACAGTTCAGGCGAAGGAGGTTCTAGGGCTGCTCCTTGTCCGAGAACCAGAGAAACGACTGGGCATGCCCGGATGTCCGGCAGGCAGCATCCGCGATCAGGTCTTTTTCAAGTCGATCAACTGGGAGAAACTGGAAAAGAAGAGGGTGCAGCCACCGGTAAAACCAAGGGTAAAGAACTCGCGTGACTGGTCATGCTTCGACAAGACGTTCCTGCGAGAGACACCGGCGCTTACTGTGATGGACAAGGAAATCATGAAAACTATCGACCACGACATATTCAGCGACTTCGCCTACGTCAACGAAGCCATGTTCCACGACGTCACGACAGATGCCAGGAAGATGTCGAAGGCCGAGGCGCCAAACCGAAAAATCTCAAAGCAGCAAGAAGGTGAGAAGGCACTCATGCTAAAGCTTCTCAACGACAACCGCAGTCTAACGGGCAACAAGGCCTCTCACCGTAAGATCTCTGCGCCAACCCCAACAGGGCTTCTGCCACCGCCAGGCAAGACACCGACCGGCTCGCCCAACCGCAAAATATCAGTTCCAACGCCGGTCTCTGCACCAGCCGGTGTTCAAAACGACTCTCCCCTCCAAGCCAGAAACAGGAAAATCTCTGCTCCAGTCGGCGGCATGGTGCGCAAGATTTCCAAGGCACTCGGCCGGAGTTCTGACTCTACGGACGGCGCCGCCAGCAGTCCGCAGGGCAAATACGGAAAATCCCGGGACGAGTGTCCTCCCAGTCCACGACCGAAGCATGACAGCTCGCCGAGCCCAAAGCCGCGTGACAGGTCACGCAGTCCCAGGCCAGCTGATGGACACTCGCGCAGTCTGCGGCCAGGCGACGGCCGATCTCGCTCCAGAAGTCCGGCGCCGCGCGGTGCCGACTCAGGATACCGCTCGGACCGCAGCGCGCGCTCGCCGCGGCCCCGCTCGCGCAGTCCCGACGTCAGAAAGGCAGCCTCAGCACGGGGCCGCTCACCGTCGCCTAACCCCCGAACGAAGGACGCCTCCGCGCGGAGAGGCCGCTCCAAGAGTCCGTCTCCGCGTGCGTCCGGCGCTCGTTCGCCGAGTCCGGCGCCGGGGAGGAAGGCAGCGTCTGGTGGGAGCTCGCGACTGCGTCACACCAAGTCAGCCAACACTCTGGGAGTGAACGGACATGATGCAGGCCAAGGAAAACCGGGCCGGCAGAGCTCCAACAGACTTCGACCGCCGTCAAGGTGATGCGATATGACACATAACTGCGAACAGGAGACTTTGGTGATGCGTTTGTCGCGTAGGGCGAACGTGTTATAAGCTGTTTGCCATTTGCTGGACAAATGTGTTACGCTAATGACGAACCAGAAAGTATTAACAGCACACGTCCGGGCCGAGGCTTGCGAGTTCTGTGAGTGGACTGAAGTCGTCGAAGGGTTGATACCAGCACCTTAAAATGCAGGAACCTTGTGTTCTAGTTCACTGACAGCAACGCAATGAACATACTGAACTGATGAACATACTGTTTGTGATGCAAAAGGTTCAAAATATGCAATGTGCACGAATAGTTTCAGAACTGACTGCCATGCAACGACCGTAGAATTCGGCTCGACACCATAGCTGTGGAGCAGTGCCGTAGGATTGATCACTGTATATATACATGTGTAAACTTGACTAAATCTGCCACAAAATAGGTGACTAATTGATTCGATTCATGTTTTGCTGTCCGAGTTGCCTTAACTTGTGCTTTCCTTTCCAAAAATGCATTTAAAAAAACACCTCTGTTTTGAGGCAGCATGTTGCTTGATAACGTTGAAATAAATAACACTTATAATCCCTTTTTCATTCCGGCATGTTTCCGCTCCTTGACCGAACTGAATAATTGTTGATGCATGCTGATTGTCAGGAGTATTGATGACGTGTCTGAACTCTGATATTCCTCGAATTCCGATAGTTTTACCTACCTCCGCGACAAAAGGTTCCGAGCTTTAAGTGCTTCCGCCTAATCAGAATTAACGGCAGACTTGCAACGGGCAGCCCGTTGGCCAGAGCTTTCCTTGACCCAGACCATTATCTAAAACAAGCCTGCACTTCACAGCACGTGTTGGTCCATTTCACATCCGCCGTCAACTAAAAGAGCAGCTGACCTGACGTGCGACAGCTGCCGCCTAGAGCGCCGTCGCTGCCTGTTGCATAGTCAACACTGCAATGGAACGTGACCGTCAACGTGAATGGAACGTGACTGTCACCGTACACGTTGTAGCTATATTGAAAAGATTCCAGACTTTGCCGAGATTAATAAACGGACACATGAATGAGACACAGCTCCTTCCTGATCATAAATAAAAGTTAGCTAGCGTCAGATTTTCAATAAACTATGAACTACGCTTGATGCTTTGCAGTCTTTGCACAGACCGAACGCTATTAATCGCGTTAGTTGATCGAAACATTCCAACTTTTTAGGTACATGTGAGTCCGAACTCCGATCAACCCTTTGCACCAGGCACGGTTGTGCCGTTTCCAGCGCGGAGAGGACAGTGTCATCAGCGCAGACACAGCACCTGGCGACGCTGGGAAAGTCCGCCAGCCACCCCGCTCCCGGCGTCACTGCCGACATTCCGCACTGGTGACGTCATACTCCACCTATCGTGGCAGTGACGTCACACACGGCTGGGCTGATTCACGGAGGAGAGGGGGGAGGGGCAGCGACCGCTTACTGTCTTTACCAACACTACACAGATGGAAAAAGCCGAACCACTAGTCACTACTTAATACTTATAGCTTAGGCATTCAAGCATTATTATGATAACATTTACGTAAAGTTGTGAAACAAAAGAGGACTGGGCTATCAGACAACGCGCGAGTAGTTATGGTACGGTTATGGTGCAGCAACTCAAAAATTGTTTGCCTTTCGTGAAATGTCAAATGTAAAAACGTGAGCAACGGACAATGAATATGATTGTATCGTGGCACCTTACCACTATATTCCGAGTATGTGGCGTGCGATGCGGAGAGAAAACAGACTAAATGAAGGTTGACAGCAACAGAAGTAATCCGCGACCCTCATGGCGGGGAAGCGTGAAGTCACGGTGAGATACAGCCGCGTGAGACGAAAACAAAGCTTTGTGCAAGTCATGTATTTTCGAAAACACACTCGCAAGGTATGAACACCATGCAAGAACTGATTTACCATTCTTAATCTGCTGCGGACATTTATTAACACGAATCAAACAGGCACTCATCACAATAATATCAAAAGTAAAACATGATTCGGCAATCAATGATATGTTATAAGTACGTCTTGTCCGTTGCACAAGTGGCATACAGCACATAATGAAGTTCCCCATGGTGAACGATTCATTTAAATCTGTGACGATGTTCGCTCGCCGTCTCTGCATTCGCAGCGCGGTAGGTATCATACACAAGGAACCCTACCAGCTCACACCTGAGTTTGCCGCATTGGCATTGCAACATACGTTGATTCACATCGGACATTTCACTGCCCGTGATAACTGGACAACGGAGAGTAAACACAAAATGGACCAGCCATTCCACCAACCAGGGCAGAGTCATAGTGAGCTTGATCCCTGCCGTATCACCCTCCATCGTTTCACATCGTCACATCGCGTCAGTCACATCGAGGTTTAGCCAGAGAGCAAGAGAGAAGAAACCCGGCATCATCAGCATCATCTCGGGTGCTGCCTTTCTCGGGAGCACTTTACAACCAGTGGCCAGGTCTAGCATGCCACAACAATGCATTTTATCACCGCGAAGGTGGCCGTAGGGAGGGCTCCTGCTGCGCCGGAGACCTCTGTCGCCCCTCCGGGCTGCGGCGACCAGGCGTCCAGCCCTTGCTGGCGTCGTGTCCGTTCACTGTCAGTGTGTTGGGGGAACGAAGGTCAGCCAGCGTCGGAGACGGACTCTTCGACCGACCTCTGGTGGCCGAGGGGTCCTTCGCCTTGGAATTCGGCGAGGGGGAGCGGCGGCGCGGCGAGCTGGCACTAAGATCGGAGCGGTATCCGGAGTCCGCTCCACGCATCAATGGACTCCCAGAGCGAGAGCGGCTCTCGTGGGACCGCACGCTGTCTGCGTGGGCGTCCGTCGGCGTGGGACTGCGAGATCGGTTTCGCGCTTGGGGACTCGGCGAGCGAGCAGGGCTCGAGCTACGACTTGGCGGTGACGGGCTCTTGGCTCTTCCACCAGAGCCATCTGTAGAGTCGGTTCCTCGGCCGAGGACGTTGGAGATCTTGCGCATCACACCACTAACAGGAGCTGAGATCTTCCTGTTTCTTGCCTGGGTCGCTGTAGCTTCAGAGTCGATAGATTGCGCAGATATGTCTGTCGGGACAGATATCTTTCGACCGGGGCAGCTGGAAGACTTGCTACCTGGTGGAGGGAAAAGACCATGGGGTGTAGGCGCAGACATCTTTCGGTGAGGGGCCTTGCTTCCCGTTAGGTTGCGCTTGTCATTGAGAAGCTTCAACATGAGCGCTTTCTCGCTATCCGCCTGTTTTGATGTCTTACGGCTCGGTGGATCACCCTTCGACATCTTCCTGCCATCCATCTTTACATCTTGGAACATGACCTCGTTTACGTAAGCGAAGTCACGGAAGATGTTGTGGTCGATGGTCTTCATGATTTCCTTGTCCATCACAGTGAGCGCTGGCGTCTCTCGCAGGAACGTCTTGTCAAAGCATGACCAGTCGCGCGAGTTCTTCAATCTCGGTTTCACCGGCGGTGGCAGCTTCTTCTTTTCCAGTTTCTCCCAGTTGATCGACTTGAAGAAGACCTGATCGCGGATTCTGCCCGCCAGACATCCGGGCATACCCAGTCGCTTCTCCGGGTCTCGGAGTAGCAGCAATCCCAGCAGCTCTTTCGCCTGAACTGAGAGGTAGCGTGGATAGTAGACGTCCTCGTTGCAGATGGACCAGAACAGCTCGTCCTCGTCCGTTCCCGAGAACGGCGACCGTCCGATCAGCATCTCGTAAAGGAGGATTCCGAACGACCACCAGTCGACGGCCTGGTCGTAGCGCTTGCCCTTCACGATCTCGGGCGCCAGGTAGTCGGGTGTGCCACAGAACGTGGCGCAGCGGTTCTGGTCAGACACGTTCATTCGACATAGACCCATGTCCACGATGCGCGCGTGACCATCCGAGTCCAGCACGATATTGTCCAGCTTGATGTCACGGTAGACAATATTGTGCGAATGGAGAAACTGAAGACCACAGAGCACTTCAGCGGCATAGAAGCGAGCACGGTCCTGCTCGAAGCGTCCCGCCAGCTGGATGTGGAACATGAGGTCTCCACCATTGAGGAACTCCATGACGAAGAAGAGATGGGACGGCGACTGGAAAGTGCAGAAGAGGTGGCAAATGAACGGGTGACGAGTGCCCATCGCCATCACGTTACGCTCGATCAGCGTGCAGTCAACATCATCGTCGTCGAGGACAACGTCTTTCTTGAGACATTTGATGGCAAATGATTGGTTCGGCACATTCTTCATTTCTGCCAGCATGACCTTTCCGAAGCTTCCCTTGCCGAGTACCTTCAGCATTTTGAAGTCATCGACACAGTAGCCCTGCTCGCTGGCCTCAGATTCGGTGGACGTGGCATAGTAGGTGTCATCGTGTTGCAGTGAAGAGGGTGCATCGCTGGCACCCGTTCCTTCACCCTCTGTGATCGGCTGCAGGGAGAGCTCGCCCGGGACTTTCTTCGGGCGCTTCGAGTCTTGGACTTGTTTTAGCATTTCCTGCAGTTGCTTTTGATCGACCCCACACAGGTTCGGCAACAAGCTCTGGCACTTTTTGTGGCAGTTGATACCACACGACTCGCACTGCACGCCCTGCCGAAACAGTCCGTAGAGTAGCGTGCCACACTGATCGCAGAACGTCGGCGTGCGGTAGCTGTGCACCTTCATACGGTGCGGAATGTTGATATTGAAGCGTTCTCGCAGGATGACGCTTTGCTCACTCTCGGCGGCAGAGCCCGGACAACGTGACAGGATTTTGCCGTGGCAGTCGCGGTGAACTGAGCACTGGCACTGCTGGCACTGGTAGCCCTGCTTCTTGAAGCCCCACATGAACTTGTGGCAGAAGGCACAGAAGGTGAACTGGCGGAAGAACTTCGCGACGAACTTGTGGCCGCGCACCTCGTAAACCTTGAGGTGTTTGACCGCCCCGCGCCTGGCGGGAGCGGCTGTCTGAGTTTCGATCTCCGTGCCCTCGGGTGTGTCGTCGCCTTCACCGTCATCTGTTACTTTTACACGTATGTTCAGCTTGCCGGAGGGCTTGAGCTTGAGCATCACCTGCGCATGGTTTTGTTTAGTATCCTCGCACTTCTGCAATAGAGTGGTGGCAGCTACAAGTGTGCGCAGTTTGCTGCCAGACTTGAAGCTGAGCGTGATCTCGAAGAACGACTTGTCTTTGACTGGTACGACGAACGCGTTTCGCAAGGAGTGAACGGTGAACGTGTGCTGATGCACGAGCGTGGTCTTGCCGTCCTCACCCTTGACAGCTTCCTTGCGTTCCAGCTGCGCCTCCAGTCCTTGGATGTCGACGATCTCTATCGGCCCGTCCCCAAAGTCCATACTCCGCAGAGCCAGCGTAAAGACTGGCGCCATCTTGTTGATGATGATGAACGTCCAGCACAAACACACAGTTTTAGCCTCAGGGAGACGAGTTCACTACCACATTTCTCACAGTGAAGACCTCATTGGAAAGCACCGATGTTCTTTCACTGTTTATCAGCTGGCCATTGCGAAATATCGCACCGACCTTCACTCATAAAACTTCTTATGGACACACCAAACCAGCTCACGTTAGGCCGCTGCACTCGCTGTTTCACTATCGACAAGTTCCGGCACAAATACGTCACAACACACCACGAACGCTCTCTGCGGCCACAAATCACCACCCGGCTGGCTGTCAGCCGGCGACCGTTTTATCCTGCGCCGCCCACCGTCTGTGTCCACCTGAGCCGCCGCCGGGCCGTCCTGTTTACGATCCCCAGATATCCCAAGACAAAACCTCTCAGTGCGACGATTAGCGCAATCTAATCGGGCGCTCGAGCGGCGCGGCGGCCGCGCGGAGGACGGGACACGGAGTGGCGCGCGGCACCGCCGGCCGCCAGCCCCGCGCCGTGACCTTTCGCGTGACGTCACCGTGGACTGGCCCGCGCCGCGCACTGCTGGATGAAAGGGAGCGTGCTGGAGCGGCCGTGGTACGCGGGCTGTTGGCCGGTGTGTGGCAGGTAACGGTAGCTTAGCCGCAGCGGCGGCGATGTGACCAATGCATGGCGACAACCTGCACCGTGACGCAGCACGCGACAGGCGCGTGACGCGAGGGTCACAGTGACTGCGTGACACTGCTTCACCCCGGGGAGTGGGGCGGGGACACGCACACTGGCAGCGCCGTGCCACGGGAGGAGGGCCATTTGCGATGCACAGCTGTGAGCCAGTTTCACTATACACTACCTGGAGTCGAGTCTAGGTCAAGTAGGTATCTACGACACAAAGTGACCTGCTGTGACCGTCGTAATTAACATATGGCTCGACAAGGTCAAATCTAGAAGTACGGAGCGTGGGTCACGCCGTCTGATAGATTATCTCATCACATATCGGTGGTCCCTGCATGGAACACACAGCCCCACCGGTCTGTCATTTCCATCACTACGGTGTGCAGAGTGTGACGTGGCGCGAAATTGTAAGAATCTGTGAATCCGTGAGAATTCAGCCTGGTATGAGAGTCAGCAGTGCTCATTACGCGACAAGTTGCTTTGCAATAATGGAAATGCAGCATAATTTACTGCTACTTTTAATTTTATACTTATCCATAAAGTTGTGGTAACTAATGCCAATGTTTTTTTCAGCACAAAACAGCCGAAAACGTTTCGTTTGTGCTGTGCGCCATTTGCAACAATCGTTTCGTAAAATGAAGGAAAACACCCATGCGGAAATTCGGCTCGAGGAACATGTATCGGCAATACCATCTGTCCATATAGAATGTAGAATATGTTGAGTCATCTCTTAAACATCTGGTATATCAATCAACGGTGACATGCCTGCTGAGCTGGTCACTGCCGTGAAGACGGTCGTGTGATGACGCTCACAACCCGCCCGCGACTGAACGTTTATCGGGTGATTCACGGAGAGGTAACTCAGTCACCGAACCAAACCTGAGGTAATCAGCCGACTCACGGGCTGGTGCGGGGAGGGGGAAGGACGGCAAGGTCAGAGCAGACAAGGACGGGACCTCTGCAGTAGGATATAGGCGTGCCAGCTGGGTGCGGCTGGGAGAGCTGAGGAATTGTAGCCGAGGACCAGTCACATACGTGGGCTGCCCGGTACGGTTGAAGTCAATGTCGTAGCTTTAAAGGTTGTGCAATCTGCGCAAAGTTGCACAGTGAGCACAAACATTGATAAAACATCGCAGAACATTGCTTTGCTTTTAGGCACAACATCCTTGGATAATGGATATGAGACCTAATCACGTCCCGGACAAAAGTTTGTCTAGGGTTTGTCACTTCTGGAGTTTGGCATGCCCGCGGTACGTGTGCTCGTGTTTACCTGCGGGTGCGTGTGTACTCGTATAAGCTTCTGACGCGTCGGTGGCTTCTGACAGGCCACCACACTTCCCAGGCATCTGTTAATATCCCCCGCGGAGAGCGTGATCGATCTGTGACACGACACGGAGCTGTTGCGACACAAGGTGCCGTTGTCTCGAACCATGCTTATGTGCTCACAATGCGACGAGCTATAGAGGTGCTTATTATGCCGGGAAGAACAGAGACGTGGTAGCTAAACAAATGAGGGCAATTTAACGGAAACAATGCCACATCAGCAGTAAGAGCACGTCCTTGGTTTTATAATCGGCATCGAATCACTCTTCAGCGTACTCAAGGAACGTTCAACGTAGCCACCACTTACATGGACGTGGAGGGAGACTAGGAGAGATAACAGTCGTCCATCGCGAGCCATGGATATTTCACACACCCAAAGAGCATCGGTGCATGAATTATTTGATGAACAGCTCTGCGGAGAATCTAAAAACCAGTCCAGAAAAAAGGCAGCGAGGCTTGCATGCATAAGTTTGCTAAAGATCTATTTGTGGAATCAATGAATTCCCACAAATGACACTGTTACGATTACGTTGAAAATGAGTTCATTCACGACTGATCTAAAAATCACATTGGCATGAGCGGCGAAGGAATCATGAAGGATCATGAAGCTAAGGAAATACCAGGACTGATCACATCATCCATAAACATAACGGGATTTCATGTCATGCAAGTTAACATCAAACGTCCAGCACCTCAAAGGTCAGAGGTTATCAAATTATCTAAATCAAACATCAAACGTTATCAAATGATCTCTAACTCTTTACTTCGACCTCAACATCACATTTCTCCATTGCTGCGAGAATCGAACCCAACTTACCACCATACTCGCATACAACATGTCAAATGACTCGTCGTCTATCAGTCTGCCTAATCAATCCGTTTTGAGTATGTATTCCAGTCGGGATGTCACCCAAGTGTCAGATACTCCTGATGTCGGTCTCCGTCCCCATCCCTCGTTCCCGAATCCGGACGCGAAGTCGAGAGCATTTCAATAACCAAGTGAAGGGTCGAGGATTTTTCGTCCTTTGCATTATGCAATCCCGGAATTCAGCGTAACTAATACTTAGGTTGCCGAATGGTAAGGTAAGCTCATCATAGGCTTACCGGCTGGACTTCACCAGTCTGAACTGGCTCTACTTCACGGTCCACTGCCCGTACTGCAGCGAAGCAGACAAGCAGGCAGGCACACGAGTGACAGGCGGGCAATGCCAAGGTATTGCCGACCAAGACTCGCTGTTAAATCGGATGGGTAGGACTTTGGCGATTCCCAGATATTTTCATATTACGACATTCGAGCTCAGCGGTCGGAAGGCCGGAGGTCCGTCAGATTTCTGAGTCACCCCAAACCGGTCCGGCGGCGGATGCGCAATGCAGACACGACAGCCGTGGCCAGCCGAGACGACGACACGGGGTCATCGTCGTGACGTCACACAGTTCTTAGAACCGGACACGGGCCGCCGCCGCAATAGGGGCGATATTTCAACAGACCGAAATGGATCCGCGACCGTACTGTCATCAGCCACGCCATTACTCTCTGGGACGGAGACAGGCCGCGGAACGGTGACAGATTTTCAACTACCGCGGATGTCGGCGGATCTAAGACGCCGCCGGACAATATGGTTCACGATGTTCTGTGGTCGTTCGTGGTCTGAAAATAGCCCACGGCAGATGGGTCCCAGCGGAGTGCCATGCCGGTGATAGCATGGTGGTCCAGCGTTGTAGGGGTGGTGTGAGGTGAGGTCCTGGAGCCGACGCCTCGGCAACTGACGCTGATCCGAACACTCCTGGCAGGATGGGCAAAACGCCCGCCAGATCAACTGGCCGCCATGCCGTATTTGTGCCACATGGGCACGCCAATCTCACAAATGCAACCAATAAACGCATTTAAAACCAGGCTTGCATGTTGGTATGCATCTCCGGGATGCATAACACTAAGACCGTTTCTATTTCTATCGCTCGTCTGCCAGCTGTAGGCACCTCCAGCGGGCCGATCGCCGGCGTGTCGCTGCGGGGTCGGCGAGCGGGTCGCCGGCCGAGTTTCGCTGACCTTTGGCGCACTGCCGTGTCACAGGCAGCGCCTCCATAACTCCATGCATTATTTGGCGCGGCGCGCCGCCTCCCGACGTCGCTCTCCCTGAAGCATCGATCGGAGTCCGGCTAATCTAACCGAGAGGCGGTCTCCGACCCGGCTGCCTGTGTCCGAGACACGCGCCATGCTGAGTAGGATGTGCCTGACTCCCCTGGAACCGCCAGACCTGCTCAACGAAGTCCGTGGTGCGGGGCCATCGTTCACCCCGCGCCCTCAGGGACAAAAGTCGGCCTGTCTCTCCGCTCCGCCATGACCTTACGGAGAAATTGGCCATTGCAGAATGTCGCCAGTGCTGCTTGGCATGCAGTGTAGGTGAGCAAGCACTTCCATGGCATTGTGGCAATAAACTTCCTTGCAAAATTATATGTCGCTAAACGGAAGAAATTAAATATGCCAAAAATGTCGTCAGACGATCTTCTATTTTTATAAGAACGCAACACCAAAGAGTTTTATTCAGATCCTGATGTAACGCAATAGAGAACACACATACATACGTTGCTTCTGCTCAATTAATCAAAAACAAAGGCTTCCTACTTAAACACGCAGAGGCCCTTTCATTGGTGTATTCTGCTTACAGTAATTAGCGTAAGTCACCCACTAAATATAAGACGAGGCAAGCCAATTTCAAAAAATTGATGACAGCAGGTAAACGAGCATGGTAAACGAGCATGGTATGGTATGGTATTTGCATGGTAAACGAGCAGCATCTGTGATTCGACGAGCTCTATCCCAGGCCACCACACGTACAGTCTCCCACCTTTACAGAATACATTCATCAATAAATTCCTTTTGAAGCTGATACGAACACCCCACCGATCTAATCTCCGTCCGGCTCTCCGCCGACCCCCGTCCTCGTCTCCCGTGATCCTCCCACGCGCCGGGCGCACCGGAACCGACCGACTTCCGGCGAGTAACGAGGGTCACCGCGCGGCGTCAGCCCGAGTCTCCGTTCGATAGGTGCCGGTCGCAGCTGCACCGGGCCCGGTGTAACAAGTTGGGAGCGGGCCGCGAGCGCCGGCCGCCGCTGCCGCCGTCCAACTCTGTTCAAACTCCAAACTCAAACGGACGAGCTGGAGGCATGCTGCAGGGACACCGCTGGGGATTTCGGAGATAATTGTAACGGGTCTGCGTCCGAACTGAGGAAATTGTTCACCGTTAGCAGTCAGAAAATTGGACATAAACAGCGGGAATAAAATGTGCAGTGGTCATTGGTCGACGTAGCCGGCTTGATTTCTGAATTACATAGGATAATTACCTACATGGGAGCGCGACCATTACCAGCTAGTGTCTGTCTAATTCTAAAACGAACCCCAAACAAGCTGGAAAGCGAGGCAAATAACCGAATTTCTGGACTAAAGATTGAAATACAATAGAACATTATTA